CCCGGGGAGGTAGGTCTCGCAGGTCAGGTGGCCGAAGTCCGAGCCGTCGCAGTCCTCCACGCCCTCCTGCCGGTGCCCGTCTCCGCAGTAGGCCCGGTGACAGCCTGAGGCGACACACGCGGGTGCCACCCTGAGCAGGGGGTGCCCCACAGGTCTACCCAGAGCAGCGCCGCCGCCTCAGGCCCGGCCGCCAGGAGGCCCCAACCCCACAGGGCACCACAGGAGAGGGACGGGGCTCCGGCCCAGCCTGGCCTCTTCCCAGCTGGCCCGCTGGGCGCAGGCACCGCCCAGGGCCGCCGTGGGGCTCCCCCATGCGGCTGAGAGCTGAACGGGGGCGGCGGCGGGGTCCCCTGAGAGGTCCCGGGGTGGGGAGGGGAGCCCCGGTGGCCCAGCCGTGTCCCTGGGGAGCCATGCGGTCTTCAGCTCGGCTTCTGGGAGGGGTGCGTCTCCCACCCTCATGGCCGTCCTTCCCTGGGCTCTGAGGGGTGAGACCACGACTCGGCCCTGCACGCCCCAGTGCGGCTCCCAGAGGACGGGCTTGGAACCCACATCCTGCGTGGCCTCTGAGGGACGCTGAGCCCGATCACAGTCCACAGCCACTGCCGAGGGGCTCTGACACCTCGAGGCTGGGACAGCGGGCCTCACGCTGGGAGCTGCCCTCCTCCCCCGCCCCAAGCCACCTCTCCTGTGCGTGTCCCAGCCCTCCTGGGCCCCCTAGGCCTGTGGCCAGCCTGGTCCACCCTGGGCTCTGCTACTAGGACTCTGCCTGCTGAAGCTGGTGTCAGGCCACTTCAGGCCTCTCCTCTGCCCAGGCCTCTCCCGCCCGGGCCTCCCCGGCCTTCTCTCTGGCCCACAGAGGAGGGCCCCTGCCATCGTCTCCTGGGCCTGGAATGCGGGCTTTCTTTGGCCAAGAAGCAGGCTTGGGAGAAGCCGTGGGCCTGGTGGCTCCGCCTCGGGACAAGGGGGCCCTCTCTGGGGCAGGAGCCTTGGCCCGCCCGGGGACGTGTTGGCCCGTGGCCTGGCGAGTGGGCGCAAGCACACCCTCTCTGGCGGGGGGCCGGCCCCACCCCTCCCCACGCACCGACGCAGTCGTCACCCCCG